CTCTCTCTCTCTCTCTCTCTCTCTCTCTCTCTCTCTCTCTCTCTCTCGCCCAATCATAATTTTGATTCTGGACGACTTTTTGTCCTAATTCTATGCCTTTTTTGCCTCTCGTCGTTGTTTTTTCCCCTCCGCGAGTAAATGCAGTGGCACGAAATGTGATAAGCTGCAAGCGGGCTTTAAATAGAAACTTTCGACACACGCAGCCACCCAATCAACTCTACCAGATGATTGTGATGAAAGAGTAAGCATAAGCGAAATATAGCAAATATTTAATGTGATTCACTTTCGCGCAAAACACATGAAATAATTAAAGCACAAAGAAAAAAAAAACAGACGCAAGAGATGACAGAGATGAGATTGAGAAAAGAAGGAACGAGAACGCAATCCGTACGAGAAATGGGAAAATTATTTTTGACATTGCTCGTCTACATATTGCTTTATGACGCACGAGACTCGTTAGCAAATTTTTCGTTAGTCAAAGAATCCATTCACTGACAGCGTGAAATTTCAGTTTCTATTTTTAATTGATTTTTATCTCATGCAGTTGGCTTAGATTTTCTTGTTGCTCTCACACCAAAAACGAAAGCGCTTACATCCATCATAGTGCTGCACTGTTGAACGTTCAGCAGCGAGGGAAAAAAAGACACATAGGGATTTGAATGCGGCAGGAATTTTGTCAAGTGTTTTCATGCAGTTCGATCGAATGATAGCGGGTTTTTAGTGATCGATTTACTATGGACGGCCATTGTCAACCACTCATTCATATCTGACTAAGCGTTTGAAATTCATTACGTTTTGTTTTGTTTTGTGTGTCGCAAAAAAGCTTTACATGCAATTTACAATCGGCGACGACGGTGGCGATAATCGAAGTTTATCACGGGTATTGGTCTTGAAAACATTTTCGAAACCGTTTATGAACCAATCAAACAATATTCGTCTGAGACGACTGGTTTGAAAGCCAAACAATGAAATCATCAGCACAATATTTGTTTTTGCATTAATTTGCGCCTAGGGTCCAATGTTCATCGCCACCAAATATTCTAGTAGCTAAATGGCTACCGAAATGCGTGTCATAAACAATTTACGAAAATAAATCCGATCTTCTACACCTAATTTTGGGCGAAAGGAAGAGCGCGTAAATCAATGAATAACATCAATCTCCGATTTCCACGTTTTATGCGGCAGAAACAGATGGTGAACGGTGTCGTAATTTAGAATAAATAACACAAAACCCACAATAATATTCTTTCTGCGCGCTTCTCACATCATTCAATCTCTCATTCGCACAATTGTTTTCTTTTCCTTTTGTTGATTTTAAGCTCACAAGCCTCTAATATCAAACAAATTCAATATGAAATGTGGGACTTCAACGACTTTGTTATTGTGCTTGCACGCTCTCTCCCGCTATCTATCCCTAACAGCTCGCGCGTTCACTCATATCATTCAGATAATTAATGTTTAGTGCATGGGTTCTTAGTCAAAACGAATCTTCAGTCAACAAGGAAGGCGATATTTACGATAGACAAATAAATACAGGTAGCAAAACAACCTGACATTAGAAACGGTGGAATTAATTGTGACCTGTCTCTTGAGGTGTGATATAGCGAGAGAAAAAAAAACAATTTTCACACCAGACGAACGAACAAATATATATATATATATTATATATATATATATATATATGCAAATGGAGCTCTCTAAATTGTGTGAGGATGTTTGAATTTTTTCTCACTGTTTCAAATGATGTTTACATGAATCGACAAACACGAGGTTCCATAGTCCATGGACGAATTAAAAAAATATATATATATCCGATATTCAGCCATTAGGATCTAAGGTCAGTTCATAATGCGACAACACGAGCCAAATTGATCCATATTTTACACCTTCTTTTTGCGGCATCGCTGTTTACAGATGTAAAAGTGATGCTAAATTTACCGAACATGAATTTGATCGAAATTTAATGGTAAATGGTTGCACTAAAAAAATGAGATGTTTGATGGTTCGACCGAACACGAGATTTACATTCACCTGCGTTTCATGTAGACAAAACGGTTCCATATCGTAGAAAGAAAAGATAGACATTTCGCCATCAAGACTCATAGAATTTGACGCATAGAAAGAGAGCGAACGAGAAAAAAGGCAACAACAATGTGCACGGTGGCAAGAGGTGAACATGCTGTCGATGCGTGATTTTGAGTTTTTTTTCCCGTTGTTATTACTATTATTTTTCGGGGTCCCCGTTTATATAAAACAAGCACTTACACTCACACATTGTAAAATGTATCTGAATGAGCAGAGCGCATGTACAATGACAACGACGACGACGTTGCAAACACATAACAACAACAACAGCTGCTCCATGGTATAATATAAGCAACGCATACATTCGCGTTGTATATCGAATAAACTTAACCAAGTGAACAAAATTACACACCGTTTTCTTTTAATTTGGCGAAGGAAAGAAGAAATGAGCGAGAACATTCATCGAAAGCATGATGTTACATTGCCAATGTGAAATTGTATTTGGGTTAAACTCATATATATACTTTACCATTTTATTTCTCTCTCTTATACTCTCAATACAATGGTGTCTATGCCGCTGGTATCGCGTATTTCCCTTTCGAATTATCGAATGGGTATATACAGAAATTTTGGTGTTGTTTTCTTCTTCTTCTGGCTATGTGTGACAGTGTTGGAGCGAGATCTTGGTTGTGTGCATGCGTGGATAGCAGCCCGTTGATGTAACGCGCATAACACTCGATATATAAAATACATACACACGTACACAGCCACACACCAATAGTTGTACATAAATGTACCTTCCAATGGAATTGAATCACGCTCTCGAGTCGGCTGATCACTCAGTCATCGCGTGATACATGTTTTCGTTCATTAAAACCGACACTCTGCGTTGTCGTTGTTGTTGTTATTGTTGTTTGTTTGTTTTTCATCTCGCTGCTGGTTTTTTCTCTCGATATGCCCCGTTCTCTCTTTGGGTGTGCATTGGTCTTTGTCGTATGTTAGAAACGTTGTTTACATCAATCATTTTCCATTGCTTCCAAATCCCCGAACAGTTTGTTTTTTCCCTTTAAACTGTTTCAAATTTTTTAGTTTATTCATAAATTGAGTTGCTAAAATAACGAGTTGTTTACGTTTTTTTTCTTCTACTTCTTCTTCTTCTTCGTCCGTTGAAATATTTCAACATCACTGATGACTGTATATTTACATTTTAAATTGCTAACCAATTTATCAATGGCAAGAAAATATTTACTCATTACTTGATCTGGATTCTATTCGGTTGTCTCGAATATTCGAGCCATGCCACAAATAAAGCCAAATTGAATGTGTGCAAAACTAATCTACCTGAATGCCATCGAAATGTCGATGGATGAAGGAGCTGAAATACCGAAACTTTACAAATCGAATCGAATCGAATGAATTAATGGATATGTGAAATTGCGTCGTATTTGACCTTTGCTCACCGCTTACACGAAAAAAAACAGCAGCAACAGCAGCAACAACAACAATGTATACCCGCACATGGGCATTGGCTGACATTGCGTGTCTGGAGAGAATTGTTTCTCGTTCTCTCTCTCTCTTTCGGTTCTACGCAAAAATAAATGCGTAGTAAAATAGTCCCCCACACACACATACATTACATTCTCGAAATGCATATCAGAACCAAAAATTTTCGTCGTTGATTGACCGGCTTAGCGTTCTGTTATTTCGGGATGAATGTTATTACTAACCGGAAAGTTGTTTCCTTTTTACGGCCACACAAGCATACAAAATCGTATTTTTAGCCATAAAGTCAAATGCCTTGTAATTGTTCGTTTCATTGGCCAACGTTGTTTTTTTGTATTCATTCTTCCAGATAACTCAATAGATTTTCTATTGGAAGAGAATCATTTTTTTCTTGTAACGGGCATTATTTTTTTTCTCAGCAAAATACTACGCATATCGTGGCCTATAGGCTCTATTTATGGTTTAAAGCGATTGTGGGACAAATGTTA